CGAAAGAACACCCGTTTGTATTGGTGTATTGGTGGTGGTAATTTTACACTCCTTTTCCCCGGTGAACTTAGTAATCCATTTGCATGGAAATCCTGTGCATTCCTCATCAAAAATTATCAGTTTTGTATATTGAAAGTTACAGGGGGCAGTGCATGGAGTGCATGCTGCATTTTATAGTGTCCTTTCCTGGGCCTTGTAAATTTATTCATCTGGATAAAGTTAAATAAAAGAAACTAATGGTGTCTCTTTGTAATTGGTACGTATACAGTACAGTATAATATATGCAAACCTTCAGATATGTATACTGAGAGGGTGGTACTGGTTTTTCTTTCCTTTTTATTTACTTTGACCGAACAGAGTGAAAAATGTGTTCCTACTAGTACACACGTGACTTAGCAAGTGTGGAAGTTCAGAGTAGTTTATAGGTAAAGATGTTTACATTATAGCCTTCTATGCAGTAAAGCATAAAAGAGTATGTAGTGTTGAATTCTGCTGCATCATGGTGTGGCATTGTTGTGAAAATAGAGTAATGTGCAGTAGGGCAATTTTCCTATTTTTCTTTTTATAAGCCTGAAAATCACATAGAATTAACCCACTTTTCATATTTTGAACAAACCAATGATTTTTTTTTAGGTTTGGATGCTCTAAAGAATGGGATATTCCAATGATAAATATTCTCCAGGTCTAAATGGGGATGTAACATGGACATTTGTGTGATTCTTTAAATGTACAAAAACAAAAATACACTCTTTGCACTTCCTTTACAATTTCTTGCATTGAAATGACATGTGATGTGACTATTATCTTTCTTTTTTTCTTTCTTTTTTGATATATTTCATGCAGATTTCAGATACACCCAATGTTAAAATATAAGATAGAAGATATAAAGGGGGCTGGTCATGACATTGTGAGATTCACTGATCAGAAAAGATGAAAGAAAATTTAATCCAGGCATGCCCGTACGAGGTAACTACATGTATAAGAAAGCAAAAATAATATAATATTGACACTCTGTCTTCAACATTTCTTGGCTTTTAGCAAATACAAAAGGGAGGTTGCACATGTAGAGCATGCAACAACACAACAAGTATTGATTCTTCTGTAGCAAATCATAGAGCTATGTATTTAGGGTGTAACACAAATTAAGCACAAATTATTAGGCAGTGGCCTATTGGTATTTCTTTGGACAAAGCCCTGCCAACGCCTACAGGTATATAATGCATGTCCCACAAAGACCTCAGCTGCATTATCCACAGTGCAGTGCCCCGTTTGGTGCAGAGAGTGACTGACTACCTCTGTATTGCATGACCACATGCATTGATGGTATTTGTCACAACAAAGGCTGGTCAGTGGTTGTGCTCAGGTGAATACAGAGAGGGACCTCTGAGATACAGATCTCCGTGCATGGCCGACTCACCTGTGAAAGCACTTTCTACTGGTTGCACACTGTGATGTGTTATAATAGCCCCGTAGAGGGGATTTAATGCAGAGTCATCCGAGCCATTAGTGACAATGGTGGGGATCAACACACTGTGAAGTGAGGTTGCAGATTTTGGGACTTACGCCTGACGTACATGTAGTTGTTTCCATCCTGGTCGGACAGGGCAGGGTAGTTGTAGGAAAACTTTGAAAAGAAAATAGCTGGAGACACACCACACTGTGTGACTGTGTTTGTGTGTGTGTGTTTGTGCCTATTAGACTATTATACTAGTGATAGCTGAAGAGAAAGAGAGATATTCCAGTGGAAGACCAGACAGGTTCAGGACAGTTGAAGTGACAAGAGTGTTAATGCCAGAGGCATTTTTTACCTCATCAACATTTTTTATCTCAACATTGTGGTCACATAGGAAAGTGCAGTAGGGGCCTGTGTGGGTATATCATTTAGTTCAAGTGCCAGCCACCACGCACCCAAAAACAACATGTTTACAACATACTGGATGCTGCTTGTCATTCTTGCTTTTCAAGGATTGTTTCACAGCTCATTGTCTCATGTGGCTTTAACATATCCACCAGCAAGGAAATACGATTTGGACTTTTTAGACAATGCACGTACGAAGGGTCCATGTGGAATGCCCAAAGGTACAGTACCATCACAATACTTTGATACAAATTCTTGATAGACCATTTTATGTTAAATCTTACTGTATTTACTGATCCACTACAGTATTGATGTTAAGTCCTTGTTAACTGTCAAAGGTGTTGACAGCTACATTATGATTATACAACAGGGGCAGGTGAAAGGGTCAAGCGTAGGATTGTCTACCTGTATCTTTACTCTCAACTGGTCATCGTGATGGACAGGTTGGCCAATAAGTGAAAGTTGTGTAATTGGGCGTTTACTTGGTATTGGTAATGATTCTTACCAAAAGAATGCAGAGGTCAGTCACTACAGACTGAGGGGAGGGGGATTAGGGTGAGGGCGACTCCAGGGGTCAACATATGCTGATTAAATAAAGGGGGGAGTTTCTCTCCATTTTTTAAAAACAAAATTGAATTAGAAGTCTCTATTTAGTACCCAACCCTCCCAAATATAGAGGAAAAACATACTGTTAGGACTGAAAAGCCATATTTCATATGATCCCCTGCCCACCCCCTCTTCTTGTTTTTTTTTTTTTTTTTTATCCACTTTGATCACATAATACTGGTATACCGGTATAGTGTAATATGGCATAGATATTAAGTTGAATTTTATGTTTGAACCTGTGCACTAGTATTTTTGACATGGGTAGTTTCATGTTGCAAAATCTTTTTTGCATGCATAACATATTGTGACCTGACGGCAGTCGGCAATAAAATACAGTGTTTAGTCATGGTGACAAAGGAGAGCAATGGTTACTGGGATTCATTTCCCAAGAAAAGTTACATATAAAAAGTTTATTTTTATCTTTAATATTGAAAATTGTGGTCTACTACAGAAAAAATAACTTCCCGACAACAACATTAGGTGTTTCTTTACTTTTTTAGAACAGCTGGAGAAAAGTTTCTCAGTTTACTATGTGTGCTACTAATATACTGGTATGTTACTGGCTATTTAAGTTAGTAGTTTTTAAAAGGTATTTTTTGAAGTGCTTTGGTATGCTTGACATAAGGATTTATTAATTTACACAGTATTCCATGCTCTGTTCTGCTGGGTTCTGTTTCTATTTTTTCTGTTTGTTTGTCTATATTAAGTACTTGATGGACAACATTTATACTTTTTCCAATGCATTGTATACAGTTGATAAATATTTAATCAAAGTATCACTTTTTTCTTTGGCAACAAGTATTTTTAAATCCCTGTAGGAATTTTATAATATTGGTGACATTTTATAAATAATTTTATAGTGTCTTCATTTCTTTATTAATTTGTTATCAATTCATTTTTGCAAGGGTAGACGCATGTACATCTGGCTGTGGAATATTAACTCTTTTGAACTTGTCTGGGTTCTTTGCTGTCTGGTGATATAGTGTCTGGTAACTTCCCTGACCATTCCACATTACTTGGCTATTAAATGTCTGCCTCCTGGCACAGACTCATGCTTTTACACAGGCATTACAATACTCTTTTATATATGCCTTGTGATTTATGTCTACTGTCACAAATTGGTCATATAGTGTATAGGACAAGTTCTTTTATTGTAGATTATTTTATGTGAGAGATTAAGGAGCAATAGGAAAAGTGGGCGTTAGAATGAGAGGCATGCAAAATATAATAACTATCAATTCTGTAGTGATTAGGAATTAAAAACTTGACACCGTTTGCTCTCTCTACAAATTTGATATGGCTGACAAGTACACTGTACTTTGCTCTTCACATAAGTATAGGGCATCAGTTATTCTAATTATTTCTTTCTTCATTTTTTCTCTTTCTTTCTCTTGTGTTTCTTCTTTTCCTCTGTTCTTTCTTTCATATCATGTTACTGAAGTTATACTTTAATTTGCCTTTGAGTTCTAACAAATACTGTACTAATTAATGTTATCTAATGGATTGTTTTACATGTGTCATGCACCTTAATAGATATACTGTATGTACTTCAGTAATATGAAGTCTCGTAAAATTATTATTTGGTACCATTATAATGTACGTGTACATTGGGTCCAAGGTACCACAAACCATGGTCGATTTGTGTTACTTTTATCTTGATTTTCTTCTGTAAGTAAAATAATAATGCAAGAAAAGATGTTGGAGCATGGATGAAAAGTTTTCAGGATTATGCCCGATTTCAGGATTTTCAGTCTCCATTTAGATTTTTCTTTTTTTAAATTTTTTCATATGGTCTAAATAAATGCAATGAGTAACTTTCTTTAGTTGAGAAGTGATGATATGATTTTTAACTGGCCTGCGAGAGGTGACATAGATGTCACTGTATTGTCTTAGGCAGTGGTGTGCAATCAGCACAAGCATTTCATTAGTTACAGCTGTCAAAGCTCTGTGGATGAAGATCGAGACAAACCATCATTGTATTTTAATGAGTAAAGGGTAGGGCTAGTTGTAGGGGCAATCCTTAATGTCAAAACAAGCATTCTTTTGTATCGTTGCTTATCACTTCATCACAACCAAGTGGTGTCAGTCACACTTTCACCAGTATCTTTTAGATTGATATAATAATAATCATGCTATGTTAATTAGTGGCATACTTACCATAATTACAACCTTAAGAAGAAAGTCATGCAGTTACTCTGATTTTATCACACATATTGTCACTTGTTTCTGATGCAGTGCTGTGTAATTTGGTGTTAATTTACCCTGGTTCCGAGGCTGGTTGAGCCCTCTCTTTTACAGTGTGATGAGACAGGTATGCTGTTAGATATTCAGTGATACCCAGGGGTGGTAGTAATGGGTGTCTTCTACGTGCTATCAGGGGCAACTTATCTGGATGGCAATGGTTTTATTATACAGGGATATTGTGATTTGAGTATTTAAGACCCCAAAATTGAATAGAGAGGTCAGTTTTTGGAAGTTCAAGAATGGAGTTTTTGTTCTTCTTTTCCTCATTTCTCTTTGATAATGTAGAATGTGATAATTTTTCTGAGACCTTGGGTTCTTTTGTTCTCAGATGTTATGTTCACACTGCATATAAGATTTAATGGCGTTTCCCATTTTATGTTAAACTATTATGAAATAGAAACTAAATTTGAAGTGGAATTTCCCAGTGTTTTCCATCTTTCCCAAACACTTGTATTACTAGTACTAAGTTGGTGAAAGATGCCAACAAAGAGTAACTTTTCTTAATTTGACGTGAATGGTGGGATAAAAATTTTGAAGTGAAGATCAATAAAGTGTTGGGGGGGGGACACGGCAGAATGTCCCTTTGCCTTGCCTGTTTATAAGAACTAAGCTTTTCATACATAAAAAAATTCTGCACTTTTAACTGTGACAGGCCGGGTGTGACGCATTTTGGGAATCAAATTATATACAATTTCTTTTTCAAATGGTAAATAGTTTAACACGTGGTAAATAGTTTAACAAATACCTGTTCATGTTTGTCATGTATCTGGTTCAGGGATGAGATTTTCAGTGACGATTTATTTGTTTGTTATTCCATTTTGCAGGTGACTTGGTGACAGAATTCCAGCAAGGGGCTGACATTACTGTGACATGGCATCTGGCTTATCCGCATCAGGTGAGATTTTTTCAAAGATTAATATTAAAAGACTTTCAGCTTTAAAAAAAACTTGAAAAAACCACCACAAATTACTCTACACATGTTCTTTATCTCAGAACACTTTCTATGTGCCTTTGGATGAAATTGGGTGTCATACGTTGCTTTTTGTTACTGAAATTATGAAATAATATGAAATTATGAAATAATGAAAAAAGGCTGAATTTTTACATTTTAAAGCTGCCACAGAAGAAAACCATAGATGAAACTACTAAATTTGATAAATTATTCTTGCTTCCCATTTCATGAGAGCCATGGCATTACATAACGTCATGCACTCTATCATGGAATTTAACTGTTGGTGCCAGGTGATATTAGACTCATTTGAAATACGAAATATCAGAATGGTGGGCAAAAGATTTGGGGTGGTAAATATTTCAATTTTATTTGGTAGAAAGTTTAAATTGCACCTGTTTTTTAATTAAATTTAAGACTAAAAAGAAATATTGGAAAACAAAAGTAACAGTTGTTTTCAACTTTTGCTGTCAGTTGCCTGAAGCATAACTGTTTATCTTACAAACAATTGTTTATTCCAAGCAAGTACTGGTGACAACATCATAACCACAAACAACAAATCTTATATATTTTTTTCTGACAAAAATATAAATTTATTCGCTGTGTCTCACAAAAGCAAAGGGAAGGGTGATATGAGTAATTTGAAATATTGGGGCCCATTCCATTTCTTCTTTTTTCATATAGAATTCCTAAAAATGAATATTTCTATCTTTGATAATCCTATGCCTAATCAGTATGCCTGTGGCTTTGAGAGTGAAAGCCAGATATTTGATCAGTGTGAAATAATCATAATTGTTTAATGTTGAAGTTTCTCGGGATGCATCTGACTACATAAGCATAGGAAAGACGCATCCATTTTTAACACTTCATGCATATAATAATAAACATCAACTGAATCATAACCTCCCCCTATAAGTCCATTTAAATAAATCATAATAACGTATTGTTATTTACTTATTTATCAAATATTTTTTGACATGTATTTTCAATAATATGTGACTTTAAAAAGTACTTTATTTTTTACAAATGTGTGGATGCATCACAGGGTGCAGATTTTCATAGTTAATTGTTACTTTTCCAAACAATGGCACATTATGAAAGAAAAAAATGCGTAAACTTGTGTCCAGTCAGCTCTGTGTTACTTAGTGGACATACATGTCTTAACAAGTGACTCTGGGTCTGGCCCAGATCTGATGTGAAACTGATTGAAGAACCACTGTGATATGTTAAGTACCAGGATTAATCATAGGTCTAGATGAATCCCTGTGAATTAATGTCTCTCCATCACGCATGGTCCAGACAGTAAGGTACTCATCTCTGCCCTGTGTATGACTATTCTGACTCATATTATTATTATGTGACTAATTTTATTACCATAGATTGTGAAGGCGTGACTGTGGGCCTGTGTTTGGCAATAATTTATATTATAATTTATGAAGCAAATCTTTTCTCATTATGAGTAGTTATTTAGATAATTTTTAATGGCTAAAACAATGAGAAGTACCCGCCCTGATGACACAATTACAGTTTTTTAAAGTTAACTGGAGATATGAAATGATGTTAATCATTGCAAAGTTCAGAATTCATATGACATATTCCTTTTTATTATCCACCTTCCTTTTCCAAAATTATTGTGCCAATTTAACATTAACCTTTAAGGCAATTAATTACCTGTTAGTAGATTGGGTATGGGGCAACATAGAAAAAATTGTGGATTTTCAAAGATACTGTTCATATTGAACTAGTGGACATTTAACAGTTGTTTCAGATAATATGCCCCTCATCCATAAATTCCATCTTCCGACCTATACACTTTAATTTGGACTAGTACTGTTTTTTAAGGTCTGCTTGTTCAAATGGGCTCAGGTTTTAAGACAAAGAACAAAATAGTGAACTTTTCTGACAATGATACCTTTGTGTTAGTTGAGGATTAAAAATCAAATTAATGCTATATGGGAGCAGCCATGGAGGAGCAGAGCAGGTGCTTGGGGACAGGTGTATAGAGAATATGGCTCAAGGCTGCAGTCTGAACACTGTTGTCTGGGCTGGCACTGACAGGTACAGGAACCTTGTACCTGGTTGTTGGAACCAGTGTCCCTTGGCAATCATAAATGATCGGATGATTCATTCATAAAAGATAATTTTATGACGTGATTATGTAGGGTTAAAGATACGTTATTGCTAAGTTAACTACCTAAAAGTTTGTAAAGAGGTTGTTTTAAGTAATGTAATTTATGGAAGTCAAGATTAGTGTTGTCCTATTCTGTGTAAACCAGCAGTGTCTGTATGTTGACAGCAAATTCATGGTTGGCTTAGATATTGCTGTTTGTAGTTATTTCTTCATATTAACCAAAGTTATGTTGATCCAAGCAGTCCATGCTGTTCATCATATCTAAAATCTGTAGAAATTTACTGGCCAGTGATTTGTTGATGAATTTGTGCTGAAAAAAATTGTGGTGAAGAACTATAAAATAAGACCTGTCCTAATGACTGGAGAAAACAATCATGATTTGTGAAACAACCCCCCCCCCCCCCCCCCCCAATCACAAACACACACAATTTATTTTTGGTTCACAATTTTGGTAAATATTCTTTATTGACCATGTGCTTCATTTTAGAATTGCATATTGATTTAAGTTAAGCTTCAAATTCTTTTCATTCATTTGTAATGTGAAACCTAACTTTGTGGAGGACCCATTTTTCATTTTAATCTTTGTGCATTTCTTCATCCCCTTTCTGCAGTCGTACAAATATGTCTGCCCTTGTATGATATTTCAAAATCCTTCATTAAATTTGAATTATAAACTGATATACATATGTCATTATCATTTTGTAAGTAATATTTATGAAAAGACCTGTACTGAGGTATGATAACCATATTAAACATGTGTCAGCTGGCAGTTTTGGTGGGAATTTCATTTATGGTTAGTTTTCCCCCATGCATCTTGCAAGACTGCTTTTTTCTCTTCTGTAGTCTACCAGTCCACAATTTCATAACTATGTTACTTATATCATCGCATGCATGCCGGTAATCTAAGGTATTTGACTGCTTGAATTTCAATTGTCACATACCTTTTGAAAAGAGGTTATAACCATATTTGTGGTGTAATCAGCCATGAAGGTTGACCTACAAATTGTCTGTGGTTATTACTTCATGACTGTATGCTCGAGACTGTCATGCACATATTTGATACCTGGCCAAATTTCCCAAGGCAGGTGTATTTTTGAATGAAAAAGGAATGAGAAAATTTGACCTTATTTACCCCTCCAGTGTATCTGAGCATTCCAGACATTGTCTAAATAATGATTTTTTTAAGCACGTTTTTTATGAATTTACTTATGTCAGTGTTTGATTGCTTTTTGACCCAACGAAGCCTTAAAAAGCTGCCATTTTCAAAGTTTAGGGTTTGACATACAAAAATGACATTAATATAAATTTTATATGACTAAAACAAAGCAAACATTAATTTTGAAGTTTGCTTTCCTCTATAAAAGAGTTTAATTATTTTTCATGGAACTCATGGGTGCACAACAACTATCACTTCATATCAAACACACTGCAGGAATTTCATAACTAGAAAACAATTGTTAACATATTTCTTATCAGATTCAGTAATTTATTTCTTTTCTTGAAACATTTTCTTTTATTCTAAACAGATGCTGAGGAATGCTTTCTCTCTGTTGGAGTTGCATTACACCTTGTCATGCATTCATTTGTAATTCATAAAAAAAGTCAATATAAAACTGTTCTTTCAAGTTTAGAATGGTTAAAATTTTCATTAATGATTTATCAAAAATAAACATTGAAAAAAGGCAATACAAAGAACATAATTTATAAGAACTTTCACTTTGTTACATTTATTGATAAAGATGATAATATTATTCATTATTTACAACAAAACATAACAACAAAACATGTTTTATTGAGGCTTATAACACATATATTTTAACTGGGGGTTATTATTTTAGCAAATTTTAACCTGACCTATAAATTTGCTAGACATAGTTTACTTATTATTAAATACTTTGATTTGACCCCATCAGGGTGGTTACCGCCTAGAGATCTTAGATGCCAGTGGCAGCGTGGAACACAAATTGGCTCCTACAGCTACCAACTTGCAGTGGAACTTTCCTGGCAATGACACAACGTGAGTATTGACTGAGATAAACTTTTGACATCAGTGCTTTTGTGAAACAGGACCAGGGGAAAATGATTGAATAACCTCGCTCTACCTGTATTAGCAATTACAAAAATACAATGCAAGCATGCCCCTCTTGGATCAGTTGATTGTAAAGGAAAGTGTTTAATCTGGCTTAGATTTACTTCAAAATAGAGAATACATTGTCAATATACATGGATATAAGGCCTTGGCTGAGTTGTGGTGTGCTTTTATAGCTTTTGTCAACTTTAATAATTGAGATAAAAAGAAAAAATGTATTTACATTGGGAAGATGTTGAAAAAAATCATAATAAGTATCCAAAACATTCAGAGTGCCTTGGACCAGGCCATGTTGCCATGTATTTTGTATGTTTTCAACTATGAGTCAAGCCCTTTAGAGTCCCCAAAAGGCTTCTTACATTAAATTAAATAGGTAAAAGAAATCTTAAAGACCACAGACTACATGAAATTAAAGAATGTGACTGAAAGGAGATGGGGACATCAACAAAGCTGTGCAAGTGGTAGTGAGTGCTTTGTTTAGTCTGTTTATTGTCTTTACTTTGGATGTATTTCAGTAAGCAGTCGCACACTGTGTCTCTCCCTGCTGGCTTCACCTGTGATTTGTGCACCCTGCGTCTGCTGCGCCAGGCTTTAGAGTGGGGAAATGGATACCGCTTTTGGTCTTGTGCTGACATCAAAATCAAGTCAGGTGAGTCTGTTGGAATAAAGTAACCTTTTCTTCAAGAAGGCCTTCACTGAATTGTGGTGTGCTTTTATAACTTATGTCAACTTTTATAATTGAGATAAAAAGATAAAAAAATTGTCTTTGTGAGTGTTTTGTAAGAAAACCAACAAGAAAACATGCTGAGTTCAATTAAATTTACAGATATTTTTGAATGATTTCATAACAAACAGACAGTTAGGCACTGAAGGTTGTGCTTTACAATCAGTGTTGTGTTTAAATTGAGATTCAGAGACGTGGACCCGCTGTCAATTAGTTGAAAATGTGCACTGAATGTAAATGTTTGTGAAGATGTTCGTGCATGTGATAATCAGTCTCTGCTGTAAACACATCTTTGCATGCCGCATTCAGGCCCGTAGCCAGCAATTTCAAAGGGGGGGTTCTTTTTCTGAAAAAGTGGACCTTTTACCATATAATCCCCATGTACCTAGGTCAAATTTTACCCAGAGTGGACCTTTTTCCAGCAAAAAGGGGGGTTCTTTTGAACCCCCAGAACCCCCCCTGGCTATGGGCCTGGCATTTGACTAGTCTGCAATTTTTCAGACAAATTTTGATAATTCTAATATTCTGAATATTATCACTTTTAAAAAGTCTCTCAGCAAAACTTTCTTTTTGTAATTTTAACCACTGCAACCCTTGCTCTGCATAGATTTTGGTAACATATTTCCTCCTGGAAAAAATATACTGTTTTTTCAGCCTGGATGGTACTAAGATTCTCAACCTGCATGCATGGGTTCTATGTATTTACAATTTGGTTTTTGAAACTTTTCATGCAGAAATACTGCATGTTTACCCTTTATATTTGCTAAACAGTATTTTTGCCTTACTTTAAGTTTGTTGGGTTGGTTTGGTTAAAAGACATGTTTCTTTTTAAAAATTAGCATGATTGAAGAATTTTACCAAAGTAATTGTTAACTGGACTGTGCCTGTTTACATTAAAAGAGAGAGCAATAGGAAAACAGTTTTTTTCTGCTGAGTGTGTATATTTGCAAGCCTTGTTGTCTAGTTATGAATTCTCTAAGAAAGATTCTTTAGAAAACAATATTTCCAAATAGGACTGTTCATGTTGAGGACAGTATTCCATCATATGACCAAGCTACTTATGTTTTCTTCCCTTCAGGATGGAGTATGTCTATGAATTGGAACACCCTGCATTTCAGTAGGCCTCCTTTTTATGTTTATAATAACAAATGTGCAAGGGTTTGGACACAAGCTTTTTTACATGTAGATCCCAGCCTTGGTTTCAGAACATGCTTTTTTTATGCAAGCACCCTGAGTTTTAGTGTCTCCTGATAAATCGCCTCTATTATTGGTGTACTTGTGGTTTTCAGGCAGCTGAAGGGAAAATGCCAGTATCTGATGGTAGAGGTTATTTGTACTGTTGTTATCTGAAGTTCAGGGTGTATAAAAGTTACCTTTTTACATTCAGGCTATTTCTAATAGGTTACATCATGCAAGAATTAAATTATTAAGTAGAAAGCATCATGGCTTGAAACTGGAAGTGTCCTATGGTTGTAAGCTGAAACAGAATAAAAGCTTGACTATAACAATTTACACGGGTATTTTAAACCTTTTAAGCCATTAAAAGGGGCTTTAACCATTTGAAAGGCAGAATTAGCTCTTTATTGCCAAATACTCTTTCATTGTTAAAAATAGACATGTCCAAGTTTTTAAGTAATTATTTAACCTGCAACACAAAACTATTTATATTGTCTGGTTTATCAAATCTATGTATCTGCACAAACTGGGCTTGCTTTAATGAATTTTAATGAGTTTTTTTAAATTTTATTTTGAAGAAAGTAAAAATCTATTCTGATTTAAAAATCTGGTCGTTTTCTATGGTGTTCTTTTTGTTTTACATCTTCTCCATCTTAAGAAAAAAACATGGTTATTACGGTTAGTCACTTAGATAGGTTTTCATTTTCTACTAAAAATTGATAACATTTCCATGTTTTTATTACATTTATGCACAAACCCAGATATATTTATATCTGCAAGTAAATAATATTGACTAACAATGATATCTAAGATTAATGCTTATATTAACTTTTTATATTTAAACTCTGTCCTTTTATAATACTTATTATGTATGGTGATCTGAATCCCAGTACAAGTTTGTCAGGACCTCTGTATTTTTTATTTGTGAGAAATTAAAATGGGAAGTTTCCCTTCTGAATTCAGGTTCCCCAACAGAATGTTCTGGCCATGGGAGTAAAAATGATCAAGGAGTATGTGTATGCACTGGAATGTATGTTGGAGACCAGTGCCAGTATCAGGGTATGTATCCAATGTCAGTATCAGGATATGTATCCAATGTCAGTATCAGGGTATGTATCCAATGTCAGTATCAGGATATGTATCCAATGTCAGTGTCACGATATGTATCCAATGTCAGTATCAGGATATGTGTCCAATGTCAATGTCACGATATGTATCCAATGCAAGTATCAGGATATGTATCCAATGTCAGTATCGGGATATGTATCCAATGTCAGTATCAGGATATGTATCCAATGTCAGTGTCAGGATATGTATCCAATGTCAGTATCAGGATATGTACTCATTGTCAGTTTCAGCAAATGGTACATTGTCAACACCAGGGTATTTTGAGCAGAGTTCATTATTGTTTTTTGGACCCTTAACTTCCAACTGTCCATCGACTTGATGAAGTGCATCTCTGCTTAAAAAGTATTGTGCATTTGATTTGTTTGCTCTAGTTCTTGATTGTATAAACTATGTAGTCGTGAACTATTCCATAATCAGTTTCATGTTTAATTCTGTTTCATATTATTACAGATGAGTGTAAATCTGACAGTGACTGTGGCAATGGTCAGTGTGTTGACATAGATGCCACTAACTACCCTAAGAGAATCTGCTTCTGTGATGTTGGATGGTTTGGAACCAATTGTGAGAAAGGTAAAAGATTTCTTTGACACAGTGTCTTTGTGTACATTTGAAAAACTATTTTAGGCTTGATAAATCAAAATAAGAGTTTCCAATAATGATGGAGTTGGTGGTAGTGATAAATGAATATGTATGGAGAGGTATCTAAAGTAAAAGGGATTCTGTGTTTGTGCATGTGTATATGTGTTTGTATGTCCATGTATGTGTGTCAGTGTGGATGGAAGTGTCAATAAGTAATAGATGCATTTGTGAGATTTTGTAGTTGTTAAAGATTTAAAACAAATGGAAATGAAAGTAGTTGGCCATGAGAAATGTGTATTAATGTAACTTTGTGAATAATTTTTTCTAGCCTTATTTTCATACTTGTCATGATATCTCATATTTTCAGAGTCCAGTGTAACTAGTACAGCCATCAATAAAGCCCTGTACACTCATGTGTCTCTGGTCTCCCAAAGTCCTAAGTACGACCTCTACTACAGAGTGCTAAAGGTAAAAAAAAATTAAGTTCATTTTGCAGTAAGTATTTTCATTATGGATACACAACTTTTTGTTTTAAAATCTTTTTTTTTTTTTTTTTGGGCTGGAATTTTTTGTATGTACAATAATTTGGTTAAATATTTAATGAACATTCATAAATGAGCCCCAGCCAAAGCTGTTGACTAAAGATGGATTTTTCTGTCTTTCCGTACATTATCAGTAAATTTGAAACTTTACTGATTTTGAATTTGAAGGAGTCCTTTGTTCTGTAACCTTATCATGCATCTTGAGATAAAGTTACAAAATTTAAGTAGTCGCCAATCATACTTAATGAATAATATTATTTATTCATCAGGACACAAGAGAATTGGAAGTGGTGCTGATCAATGAAGGAAACAGTTATGCAGCATTAGGCTGGAGACCTGATGGTAAATATTCCCATTTTTACTTCAAAATTTATCAAAACGACTGAATTTCTGCAAAGATTATCAACATAGCTGACATGGCCACAGCTGATGTGATTTAACAATTGGGTTTGTTTTACTTATTCTAATGCAAAATATAATTGGATTTTAGGTATAACTGCTAGGTGCCAAAGATTTCCAGAATATGCAGGAAAATATATTAATGTGCCAGGCAGTGGGTATGGTGATTCAGAACCAGGAAGCAAACCAGAACCTGGATCCACACCAGAACCCGGAGCAACACCAGAACCTGGATCCACACCAGAACCCGGAGCAACACCAGAACCTGGATCCACACCAGAACCTGGTGCAACACCAGAACCTGGATCCACACCAGAACCCGGAGCAACACCAGAACCTGGATCCACACCAGAACCTGGATCCACACCAGAACCTGGAGCAACACCAGAACCTGGAGCCACACCAGGACCACATTCTACTCCAGAACCAGAATCCACACCAGAACCTGGATCCACACCAGAACCAGAATCCACACCAGAACCCGGAACCACACCAAACTCTGGAAACAAAAGGAAAAGGAGGGATGCCCATAGTTCTGGCTGTGGAGATAGAATAAGTTTTTGTCAGGGTTCAGACTGCACTTATGAAGCCAGCTGGGAATACAATGCAGCCACAGATAAAGTAACATTTACCATGAAGGCTAAAAACACCCTGGGCAAGTGGATAGGTATTGGATTCTCAGAAGATGGAACAATGGTAACATGATTAGTTTTTAGTGTCTTTGATATTTTAGTGATTTATTCATTTGCATAAGTTTCATTGCTGCTATTTCTTAAAACATATATGAGAAACATGCAATAATAAGATAGGATAGTGATGTCTTTTGCAAGGGCATTTTGCAAATGTTTTTGATGAATTAGTTTATGTCTTCAATGGCTTTAAAGTACTTTTAGGCAATGAACTTAAAAAACCAATTAGGTTTTGTAGGAATAACATGAGAATCTTCACGTGGTATTTGTTTATCTCCAGGTTGGGGCAGACATTATAACTGGCTGGGTGACCTCTGAGCAGCAAGTGGTGGCACATGACAGGTAAAATAACAAAATTTTTGGTAATGGTTCAGTCATTTCAACCAAGAAAAATTATCAGTTTTTCAGACACATAATTATGGAATCATTAAAAATACATTTCTGTGTAGTATTTTGGTGCTTTTACTATATAGAATAGGTAGTCTGATAGGTATATAGGTAGATAAGGTAGTCTGTTTTTCAGTTATGTTCCTACCACTGAGTAGCAATGGTCAATGATCAAATTAAATGAAACATGGATAGCAGATACAGAGTCTTGAGAAGGCATATTGCACAGGCCCAAAGAATGTTATAGAATAAGAACAACATAAAATTGTTGAAAGTTTCAGACAGGCATTAATGGTTTTTATTTTCTATTTAACACAGATATGCTACAAGTAGGAGTCCACCAGTCATAGACGCCTCCAATAATATTGAGAACATCCAAGGCTCACAGGTTGAAGGCCTAACGACCATTACTTTTACTCGCAATCGCAACACAGGAGATAATGAGAAGGACAAACAGTTTACAGATACTTCAGACGGTTGTTTCTTTTTCTTGTATGCTATTGGAGGGTCCTATGATGAAGCAAACAACATAATGTATCACTCATGGAGAGAAATGTCCAACCAAAAGATATGCATCAAACCTTGTCCAGGTATATTATTGAGAATCCCTGTGGTAATTCTTTGTATTGTATCTTTATTCACTGACTCAATCAAGAATAGTGAAAGGAAATATTTGGTTTTGTGCCGAAATAAGTAAAACAAAAATTTTGTTTTTAGTTTTGTTTTTAATAACATATCATGACATTACAAGGAATTGAGTCATCATATTATCATTTTTAACATTATATTATCATTGACACTCAAAATGCCTCCATATGTTCTTTGAAATAATAGCCCAAATTTTTGATAGTTTTGTTAGGCTTGTAGTTATCATGCTTTAAGACATTGGAACTTTTGTGAAAAGATACCATAGATCTGCCCCAGAAACATCAGGATTTCTGTTTATGCCATCTGATTCATTGAGCACTATATATGAGCTTTGCCTAACAAAAGTAGAACTAGATAGCTTAATTTACATTAGGCATTTGTCAAAAGATGGGTTTATCCCCAAATGGACTTATATAAAGATAGAATATAACATATTCAACATTGTTTTTATTTTTTCAATTGTATAAGCTTAAAACCTTTTTGTTTAGTAAAAATACCGGTTTTAGTTTCTTACATAAAAGGATACTTCACAGGTCTTCAGTTGCTCATTGTACATAAGTTTGTCTAAAGTAAGCTTCCCTTTACTGGTAATGGTTAATGAGTAATATTGCAGGTTTGTGCACAGATTTTTCTTCTCTATAAATAAGTGCAATAAAGCATTCATTTTATATATTTTATTGAATGATGACACATTGCAAATAACATATTAATCTGCAGAACCAACCTCTACTCCAGAACCAGAATCCACTCCAGAACCAACTACTCAAGAACCAGAATCCTCACCAGAACCAACTTCTACTCCAGAACCAGAATCCTCACCAGAACCAACTTCTACTCCAGAACCAGAATCCACACCAGAACCAACTTCTACTCCAGAACCAGAATCCACTCCAGAACCAATTTCTACTCCAGAACCAGGAAGCACACCCGAACCAGGGGCTACTCCAGAACCAGGAAGCACACCCGAACCAGGAGCTACTCCAGAACCAGGAAGCACACCCGAACCAGGAGCTACTCCAGAACCAGGAAGCACACCCGAACCAGGAGCTACTGCAGAACCAGGAAGCACACCCGAACCAGGAGCTACTGCAGAACCAGGAAGCACACCTGAACCAGGAGCTACACCAGAACCAGGAAGCACACCGGAACCAGGAGCTACTTCAGAACCAGGGGCCACTTTAGAACCAGGGGCACAACCGGAAGGATCAGGTATGTGTTATTTAAAGTCTAACAGAAATGAATCCTGAAAGATTCATAAGATGACACATTAGGATAAAGTTCCTCTACAATTTAAAATGTAATTTTAAAATGTAATTTTAAGTTCTAACAATGCATGGTTACATGGTTGCATGTTCAAGCATATTTTTTCGTTTAAACATGCACCTTTGGTCCTTGTCTCCTGATACTCGCCATAACTGTGTAACAATTTTGGAAAATAAAAAAGTTCTTAACCAACACTTAAGTGATGGTTTTTCAAATTCCTCCATCAACTTGGGCTCTATTCTTGCATTGACTTCTGGATTTGGACGCAATATATATAACTGTGTTAACCTGCTTGACAGAAACTCGGGTTGGTTAAGAGGTGGTCAATTTGATATTTTTTGCAACATTAATTCATGGTATTTATTCATTTTTTTTTCATTATGATCAAAAATATAACTTGTCCTCAGATAAATTCAACAACAGCAACTTCTTCAAGAAGTGTTTTATGTACTTGGGTTGAAAACCCTTTGCTTTGTCACTTAAATGATTAAGAATTTTTTCAAAGGTCTTATTAAAAGGTGTAATCTTGCTTTGTATATATTTATAACAAAATGTTAGTTGTAAATTGATTATTTTCATAAACTGTATGGCATCTGAGACTTTAAGATTTACATGAAAAAATGATGCTAAATAAACCCAACAATTATAAATTATAATGACTCACTGAGCAAAATGACATGGCACATTTTTAACACATGACATTGATTCATTCTTCATATATCAGCTGGCTTGCATGCAATGGATTGCACAGACATTGTCATTGGACGAGCTCGTGGTATGAGAGGCAATGTGGGAGACTACTACACTCGTGATCGTTCATCGCCAAGACCCGATTCTTTTTATGATAATGGCTTCAACAGTCTAACAGCAGCACTGGCATATGAGCAAAATGGAGTGACCACAGTGTTATTCAGGAAGAAGTTGGAAGGTGAATAGCTAAAAGAAAGTTCAGTGTTTTAAAGACAGTATAGGCACTGATGTTCTTGACATGACCAATATATATATATATATATATATATATATATATATATATATATATATATATATAATAGAATCGATGAACATTGTGTATGGAGTTTTTTGAAGTTGTGTTGTGTTGTATAATTTTGATAGACAAAGGAAAAAAGGAAAATGCATTTGCATGGAATTTATAAATAATATAAAATTCACATAAGATTGCAATTTTCACCCTATTTATATATCAGACTGTGAGAGTGAAGATTTCCAGATGCCGTTCATGTATAAATATGTAAATTTTGTTTTTGGCTGTAGCTACTGAACAACAGGATCATGACATTAGAAATGAAGTGATGCATGTCATCTGGGCCCGTGGTCAGCAGATTGGTCAATATTACCACAACCCAGAGTCTGGCCTTGAAAAAGGAAACCCAGCTGTGTCCAACTTTTATCGTCCAGATGAGATCAAATATCATGGTCATGGCAACCAAAGAGGACAGGCTAGACTCAACTTTGTGGGTGAGTGTACAGCATGAGATATTATGTACAAGGTGATTCAAACCCCCCCCCCCAAAAAAAAAAAAAATTATTTTTTTTTGACAAGTCTTTAAAGAAACACACTGGCATCCAGATGATAACAATGTTGGATGGCAGCAATATTGCAATTTTGGTGTTATCGTGGAGAACATTGATATTTTGGGTATTGAATTATATAATTACATATAATTATTGACTTTGGCTTCCGGTCAATATCAATTTGCAAAACAGCATATTGGCCTTAGTCAAAGTCATAAATCTTATAAAAAATAATTTTCATAAGTATTCTAATGAACGTTTAGCTTGAACTTGAACAATATCTGGGTATTCTATGCAATTTTTATGATCAATTAAGTTCTCTTTCATATGTTATTCTGTTGTTAATTATGTGTGCAACAGATCTACATGTTTTTTGCACTTTTAAAACTATGGACAATTCTGTATTTTTGCAGAACAACCAATCACCAAACCTTGTGGCAATGAATACAAGCAACCAACTAGCTGTACTGATGATGACTGTGAATACAAAGCCACCTGGGAATATGACGCAGCCGTAGATGAGGTGACATTTACTCTGAAAGCCAAAAACACTGAGAACAAATGGATTGGTATTGGATTCTCACCAGATAGGAATATGGTAGGTCAAATTATTTTTATTTTGTAACTGATTTATTAAGTTTTCAGTTAATGGAAAATAACAATTGAGAAAAAGGTCATTTTAATAAATAAGTGTATGTTTAATGTGGTTTACATATAGGTTAAATATATTGGACAAGCTACCATTATGGTATGTAATCAACTTGGGGGGAATGATTGTTAAAAATCACGTTATTTGCCAATGTCGCTGCTTCAAAATTAGTGTTGACGATTATGTTTTAAAAGAAAATCTGAGACTCAAAGAATGATATTGTGTTGTACAGTATTTGTTTCTGAGATGTTGTAATTGACACAGAGAAAAACATGAGAACATGTAGCTGCTGGCTCTTTGCAGAAATTTTTTTTTATGGATTAGCAGTCTTGTTTTGTGTTTGTGAATTGATCAGAATGTTTCATTTTAATTTCAATATGTAGAGACTTACTCTAGTCATTTAAAGCTAACTCCTAAATAAAAAGTTTTAGCAGAAATTATGCATTTTTTATGTTACTTATTTTTATATCTGTATTTTTTAAAGCCTGACACAGATGTTATTGTTGGTTGGGTGGAGGCTGATGGAAGAGTTGTTGTACAGGACAGGTAATTAATTATAAACTCTATATGTGTTTTGTATTTGATGTCTAATGAGCATATTCAGTTTGAGGTGTATAATAATTTTCTTCGGAAATGCAATTGGTCAAAAATAATCCAATTTAATTTAGTCAGAGGAAAATAATATTTAACATTGCTTTAGTGAAAATAAACAAACTCAGTTGTGAATGTTCTGATTCATCCAGTGCTCTTATGTTCCATATGATTTTTCCTTTTATGTCCGTGCTCTTATCTGTACTCCTGTTGAAAAATCATTTACAACAGATGTAAGATACAGTAGACAAAAAAGTCCTTTATATTATTTTCATCAATTTTGAACTTGCAAAGCAGTTAAAATGGCAACTTTCATATATTGTTTTCTATGTACTCTTCAGGAAAGCAGTGGGTTACTCTCCACCATTAGTGGACTCAAGGTCAGATATAAAAAATATAGAGGGCTCCCAACTGTTTGGAGTCACAACTATCAAGTTTACCAGAGCGAGAAACACCGGAGATAACCAGAATGACTTCCAGTTTTCTGACACTGATTGCTACTACTTTATGTATGCTGTTGGTGGAAGCGTGTCTGGCACATCTATAAACAAGCATGCCAAAACCCCTGTTATTTCGTCTGAAAAAATATGCATAAAGACATGCTCTTCAGGTATGTGTTTGTTTTGTTTTGTTTTTTTCAATACGTACAATTTAAACTCTTTTATATATATTACTATCCAACTCTAAAGTTGACTGCTTTCTTTACTGACCACTTCATTGTATTTATGAAATGTTGGGTGGAAAATTGTTTCTGAAATTTGTGCAAAGTTGAGTTGCTATTGTAAAAAGGCTCCAACTTAAGATAACCAAAACTGTTGGAACTGTTTCAAAATATTATTGAAATATGACATAATGAACTTCCAGCTTTATTTACAAAGGGCATCAAGTGCTTTGATTAATACTAATAAATAACTGAATGCAATTGACTTGACATTTTTTTACTATTTTAGTGACAGTTACCATGTCTGCATCTGTCAGATTTACCAGTGTCACATTCACTGAAAACCTGAGGAACAGGAACACGGAAGAGTTTATAGAACTTGAGAGCAAAGTGAAGGCAGCCGTGAGTTTGCTATAGTCAATGAATAAAAACTTTCATTTTCTTCTTTGCATTTAAGTCGTTCTTACACAAAAGTCAGCATCCACTTTCTTTTACTCTAAGATCTATGACCAAGCTGGTGATGTGATAAGATATAACAACATGCAATGTAAAGCCAGGATATTGGCATTGGTTATGCCGTATGGATCTTAGTTATTTTACAAAGTCAGTGGAATTAATAGACTTGTGAAGATTACTACTACTACTACTACTACTACTACTACTACTACTAGCACTACGACTACTACTGCTACTACTACTACTATTACTACTACTATTTTCCCTTAAGTATGATTTAAGGCACAATTTAGATGTTATTATTTTTTATAAACAGCATCTGTTATGTTCCAGGTTGAGCCTGCCTTGAAAGAAGCACTGCCAGGTTACAGGAGTGTGAGGGTTGCGGAATTTGCGTAAGTTCTTGCATCTTTACTAGAGGAGAGTTAGACCTGAGTCATATTTTGCATTTNTCCAGAAAATTTTGATTCTGGTCTAACTTGATGTCTAAGGTTATCCTGGACACGCTGCAGCAACAAGCATGACTCATCATTTTTGAGTAGTTGAAAAAAAATGAGGGCAAGGTCATCTAAAGGTCACTTATTTTGCTTTGTTTGTTGCTTATTTTGCAGACCTGACAGATATACAGATATTTTCTATAATTGGGGGTGTTGGCGGGGCCATAATTCTCATAGGCGTATTTATCCTGGTGGAACGTTGCTGCCATTTCCGTAAAGAAAGGGCATACAGAAAGTCCACTCAAAGCCTCACTAGCCACAAGGTATGCCTGTACTTGAAAAGCTAATTATCCAGCACAGGAAGATCTCTTTTGGATTATCTATGTCCAAATTTCAGATATATCTAGGTGCATAAGATGACTCCTGGTTGTTTCAATTACTTTTACTTCTGCAAGTACCTTGTCTAACAATTTAAGCCTTTTAACATTTGTGACAACTTTTCAACTAAAGATTTTTAGTGAGATTAGTGCTTGCTTTTGTTTGTGCTTTCACAGTTTCTAGAAAAAATTATTTCACTGCTACTACTATGCTGCATATACTTTAATGAAACATTTCTGTTTCTTAAAAGTAAATAATTTCAAAAGAGATTTTCTTGTACAGGATCAAAGATTAATTACTCAAAACACAAACTATTAAAAATTAATTACGTAGTTTCTCATACATATCTTTTCAATTTCTTAAGTCTACTTCTATTTATCCATATACATATATATATATTGCTTGAATTCATTTGTCATAATTTTGTACACTAATATTATTTTTCTGCTTGATGACTTTTTGTTTGTTCTCTCATAGCTGGAGGATTTAGCTTATTATTTACATTGAATATTACTAACCAATATTTTACTTGGGCCTTTTTCTTATTCTTTTGGAATATAAGGAATGGAGAAAAAATGATAAAAAAATGTTTTTTAACCCTTGGTGAATATGGTAACTGTAATTGCTCATAACTAATCTAGTTACTAATAAAATTACTAATACTCAGCACACCCTATATGTGCTATAGTACAGCTTTGTGAAATTTCCTATTCCCATTTATGCACAACATATCCCCTAACACATCCCCTAACATATGATTGGAGCCTTCACTTTATAGCTATTTCTATGTATATTGTTTGCAAGTGTTTCACCTGATTGAATATTTCAATGTGCATGCATGTATAACTTGCAGTATTCTTCAACCTGGTAATGGTCTTTAACTGTTGTAGAACTTTTGCATGGTACTTTCTAAACTTTCAGATTCCTGTCAAAAGCAGTGCAGGTGTACTTTGTTGGCTATACTTAAGGAATATTTGTTTTCCGTGGTAAAATGGACATAACTTCCCATAGTTATGTCAGGTTAATTTTTGTGATGGTGGGAAAGTTTGTACTGGTGCATGTTATGTAGCATCCCCAAATGTGTGTGGTCATGTTTTTATTATTATTTTATTTATTTATTTATTTATTTATTTTTTTTTTTTTTTTTTTTTTTTTGCTTGAAAATGTTTTCTAGGGATGTTGAGACAGTTCTTTCAGTGTAGAAGTAGTACTTTGTAATAATGTTACCTGTAGAGCTTGAGCACATGACCATTTTAAAAATTGAATCATCCCTAAATGGATTATTCACCCTGAAATATAAACATATGGAATAGCTGTAGAGTCTAAGTATGAACATTTTCTTAATGCAAAAGGAACACTGCCATTATGAGTGTTGGTGGATTATTCCTGGAACATAAAATGTTTCAATAAAATTTGATGTTATGGAGTTTTAACTTTTTACATTTTTAACTTTAAAAAGTAAAGTCTGTTTCTTATATACCCAAGTGTCATCACTGCATCTCAGTTCAGATGACAATACAAAAATATGTCTGGCATATTTTTGGACCTTGATTCAGACTGTGTAGACATTCTCACCTCCCTGGGTAGAATGCAACCCAATTGTCATATAAAGCTTGCTTACAAACAATACAACGACAGTTTTAAATCAAATAGGTTTTAGCTAAAAAAAAAGCTAGAAATGTGTTATGAATTCATTTTGCATTTCCATTAGAAACCCTCTTATAAAAATTATGTACATATTTGAGGATTGCAATAAAAGAATTTTTTGTTCATTTCTTCAGTCCATTACTCTTACTGAAATCTGGAATGATGATTTCTTTGCAAATATAGATTCAGTTTAATTCTTATAATGCAGCAACGTCATTTGGCAGCTCTATGGAATAATGGTCATATGCATATTAAGGCGCATAGTATTGACACACGGAAATGAAATCCTATTGTTTGGTCTTGGGTGTAGATTCCATGAAATGATTAGGTATATATATGTTCTTTTCTTCTTTATTTTAGGATCAACCAAGAGACAACAGCAAAGTATACTACGACAACAATGGTTTCGACGGCAATGGCTACACTCACGACGCCCCTGTGCAGGATGATAACCATATTGAGGAAAAGCAATAACAAAACTGACACCTTAAAAACGGTTGAAGTTAGTGTCACTCAAGGTCAATAACGTTTTGATACAATTTTCAAGGAAAGAAGTATTCAGTTTTTCCAAGTTTTACATTGTATAGAACTTCCCACTGCCATCTACTTCCCTGCTGCAGACACCATTCAAGGGGAAGACCATAGGTTAACATTGTTATTGTGTTACGCACAAGTTACTTTAAATTGAAAAGTTACAGATTAAAAATATGAATACTTCCAATTTTCTTTTAAAAAAGATATTTCATGAAGCTTGGATCAGTTAACTTAAAGATAAGTGTTTTTTGTCAACTCTCAGGCAATTAAACTTGTACTTTGTTTGTGAAGAGTTATGGTAATAGCTAGGAGTTACTTGCATATCAAAAGCAAGTGAAAAATGTACTTGTTCTGTTAAGGACTTAAAAAATGATCCCCTGTTACACAGTCCTTTGTTACCAAGTGCCATGTCTGATATATACATATATATATTATGCAATTTTTTCAATTGGCTTACAGTTTTGAAGTCATGATGTATCATATTAGAATGTAATATAAGTAGTTGTTCTGGGGCCAAGTTCTATACAAGAGCTAAAAGCGGAAGTTTGTCCTATAAATTTAAGATTTTGGTCTATTTCAATCCAGGGACAAAATAGACAAGTATATTTTGGTCTTAGAGTACTGACCAGTGTTGAACTGTTCCTTTGTAACACTGAACACTGAATTCTATTGTGAATGATAAAAGTGTATTGTGATATGGGGAGAATAATTAATATCTGTCTGACATGGCCGTCTGTATAATTCTGGCAGCTGTACATACATATATATCCAGGATACAACTTTAAGCTTGTTTCATATTTATGCCATTTATATATAAAAAATGAATCCATTGGATTTAATATATTGACTTTTTGAAAGGTCGCACTTATGACTGAAGACATTTTTGAAAAAGAATTAAAAGAGATTAAGAGTAACATTTCCCAAGAGATAAAGAATTACGTCTTGTGCTTTGCAATAACAGTGATACACTTAGTGAATCTCAGTAGATAAAATCTAAAAAGAACATCTAGACTTGGAGGTAAAATACATAGGTATGAAGCAATAATAGATAGTATGGATCTTTTTTGTCTGTCATATCTGTGTATGTATATATGTATAACTGATCACGTTTTTGAAGCATATTACTATTAAAAAGATATGGTGACGGACTAAAAAATGGGCAATAATTATGCTACTTGTCAGAATTGCTTGTTACTTTACGCAATATTTGACTCTTTAATAAAAAAGTTATTATTATATCATTTGTGACTTTTTCCTTTTCGCCAAATGAAAAAAGATATGTATTAGAAGGTTACCTCACTTCTCCCATAAACATTGCTCGCTGTGTTTTCAAAGATTGAACAAAAATTACAAGTTCTCATCCTCACAAAATTCGTTTACGCATAACTGATTAACATAGAATCTTGGTTACATCATAATTTAGTAGTCTCATCAATCATCTGGGTAACCATATTGATAACCTGGTCAATTAGTTAATATAAATTAATAAAACCTCATTTGAGTAAAAGCTGTCTCAACCTGCCGTATATCAATCAACTTGCTTATTGTGTTTTGTCGTACTACTCGTGATAGTGGAGACACGGTGTTAATGTCGACCGAGTGTTGCCCCTCTGTCATAAAGGTAGCCACCCTGTTTCAGAGATTACTGGAAAACCGCCTCGCAGAAAAATAATGCTGATTACACATATAGAAGTGAGTTGCCAGCAAATCCTCAGACTCCGGGTGACGTAGGCTCACAGTGGCAGTGACTTTCATATGGACCTAACGAAATGGACAGTGTTTTGAGTGAATGGAAAAATGAATAATTGAATTTTAGCACTAAAGGATAATAAGTATCAAAAACACGAAAAAGCTCACACAGCATTTTATTCCATGCCAATGGGGGTAAATTATAAGTACTCTGTGCCAAAACTGAGGACTGTCCGATCGTCTAAAACTTTTATACCCTGGGCTTTATCAAATTTTAAAAACTAAGGTTTTTATGAACTTTTAATGTGTATCGAATCATTTTAACACTTACAGCTTGGACATAATTTCGTCATTATGTCCAAGCTTACAAGTATGTTTTAAGATTTTTTATTTTATTCTAAAATCCAACTTTTTAAGTTGCAAATAAATACATATTGTTATTATTATTATTAGTTATGCATTGAAATCTACTTTCTCTGATTTTCCGGTATCTGAAGTGAATTAATTTCTTGTTGCCATTAGTTCGTTTGTAACAACGAATAAATAGAAATGAGTGTCATCACAAGTTTTTGGTTCTCTATACATGAAAACATTTGGGCAGCTAGACTGTTTGAACTGCTGGATATTTAGCTCGTGTTTTCATTTTGTTGCTTTAACAGTAAATACAAACACTATGCTGGCGGTACTCAAATATTTCTATTAGAAGTCAATTGAAACGGGAGTACATAGAGGTTAATATGTAAGCAGAATTGTATTTATACTGTCGAGATGGGGGTTATCGAATGTGCCACCCGAGGTCTTTAAATATATATTCAATGTAGAAACATCAGAATGAATTCTCCAACCATTGATTTAATTTGTTCTCAATGACAATTAAGCTTTTTTTGTGTGGAAATATTAATAGATCGAAATATTTTTTCTTTCTTTTTTTTCCCCCTGAACGGTGAATTTTGAATAGAAAAATGGAAAATCAGTTATTTTCGATTATTCGGCGTAACTTCACTTCTAGATTTACGTGTATTTTTTTCTTTTCCTCTCTCTTCTCAAAAGAAGTTATATTGACTTTGTGCTTTAATTATAATATTTTTCTTTCTTCCCATCATCCACCATGCATTACTATGTGAACGAAAATATGGACCCTCAACCTAACTTTTCCCTTTCTTTTCTTACCTAACGCCATAACTTGGTATGTTTCATTATATTCCTTGAAATGAATTTTTTCTTTTACCTTTGTTAGCCTTCGTTAAATTTTTATCTCCATTGGTAAAATTGCTTTCAACCTGAAATAAAATAAGTATCCTAGCCTCTTCGCTGCCCCCCCTCCCGTAACGCTATGAGGGAAAGGCGTTACGCCATGCCTGTATGTAAACGAAACAATACACGTGACGTCATAATTGAAAATCGAAGTCAGATTTGCTACTATAGCGATTTGACATCCATTGACTTTTCCCCCTCGAAACAAATAGCTTGAACAAGCCACCAAATCGGGAGCTCTGCCAAGCGACAACATGTAGCAACATGTTGCTTGCTCATCGGGACATATTTGAGTGAAAAAACATGCTGGAAAGGACATTTGATAAGATTAACATCAAGCCGCTGGCATTCCCGTTTCGGGTATCTGCTTCAAGGTGAGTGGAATGGAGTCGGCAAGCATGGGTCGGGGGTTGCGCCCTTAGCATTGATTGTGTTAGAAATATCCAAAGATAGTTGTAAAGAGTCAGACCTGAAAATTTTAAAGCCACTGAACGTAAATTCGGTTTCTGTCGTGGAAAAAAAGACGAACTGATCGTAAAGACGGCAAGCTCTCAAGTCTGTTCGCGAAACGTTTGAATTATTTTTTTAAAATTCTTTATACCTAAATGAGATTTCTATTATTTTGTAAAAAAATGAAAATGGAACGCCGTTCTTGAAACAAATTTATATTATAATGTAGCTGCATTAATTGCACGAAAAAAAAACAGTAAATACCATCTACCATCCGTAAAAAATGAGTAGCTTTCGAGTCCTTGGTTTGAGAAATGGTACATTAAACATTGTGCTACCCTTGGCTCTGCCTTTCTACCTATTTAAGGAACATTTATGCAAGGTTCTTTTTACGCCTAAGCCAAGATAAGTCTTACGACACACCGTCTGGAATTTAAGATTTGTTCTAGCTATGGAGACATTAAATAGAATGAGCTGGCCTGAGAGAACTGGCCAGCGAAATAGTTTTTTAAGTCCAAAAGTTTTCATTGAATACTTAATGGTTCAGAGGGGATCGTAGGTTTAATTATGGCAGTCAACAATGACATTACCAATGCAGACTACATTTACCGCTGTTTGCAGATGTGCAGTCAGGTTCTTAATTTTTTACAACAGACTCTGAGGTTACCACCCGGAAAGCGGCTTCATTAATATGTACAGTCGGTTAAACTGCCGTCTTTCTATTTTATTTTTGCCGTCTTGTATCGGAAAATCAATTCCCAGTTTCCTACTTCTGTCTTGATTTGTTGAAAATCTGGTAAAGAAAACAGCCTGTATGTTTTGTTTGACAGTCAGAACACAGTGGCATAGCACGCACAAAAAATCAATTCCCTAATCGGGCATAAGGATTTGGGTACTATCAGACACTATGACAATTAATCATATATCGAATTTTATAAGATTTGACTGTTAGCAATACAGGTTCAAAAGGTCTCGTTGGTAAGCTACTTACTTCAAGAGGAAATAGACATAAAAAATCGAAAATTTTCGGCATGCGGGAGGTGGATTTGCTGTGTTCTTTCATTCGTTTTGGTTCGTGCTCGGGATGAATGATTAATGTAGTCTCGTCTTGATCTCTCTCTCTTTGTCACACACACACACACACACATTCACAATAATGATAATAAACTAACACTGAAAAGAAACTTTTAAACCATGTCTACAGCTAAAGGGAAATAATTACACAAAATACATATTTGTAGATAAACAAAACTGTATGCGCAGAGAAAAAGAAACGCGTTTATAACAAACAACACGCGATAAGAACGTAAACTTGATGTAGTGGCGTACAAGAATATGTTGTCATGCCCATTGGGCATCTTTATAAATTTTTAGTTAGCGTGTTTGGTCGACGTCACGGGCGCCGAGTTGCCATCGACTAGTTGTCAACTGATGGATCGTTGAGGAAAACGTGATGAGGCGATGTTGAAATTATTGAGGCAGGCAAGCGGAGAAAACTTGTTCTAGAGATATATAAGTAGATTTTACCTGTCACTAAATCAATGATGAATGGCAAAAAGTATGTAAAACGCTGTATGACCGGGAGCTGGCATCTTTGGTCCAAACTCTGTAGGTGAGATACGTTGCAGGACATGAAATATGTCACAAAAAAGAGCTGGTTCCCATTTCCAATTTTTTATGTCTTATTGATATGAATAATTATGTTACCAAAAAGGCTGATAGAAAAAACTTTATGTCAAATGCAAGTGTGTCTTGTGTCCCTTTAGTCAGGAAAATGACAGTAAGAGTTGGCTGATGAAATACGTTCGTCTAAGACTACGAGTCAATTTGTCTATTCCTCGTTTTATTTACATGACGTTCAACACATAGTTTCACCGATTCCATTTTAAATCTGCCTACAGTTTGTCTAAATAACTCTTAGTCCTTATAGTTATGCCAGAAATGAACTCCTGCAGAATGAGGAAAGGAAAAATTGAAACAAGTTAACCAATATCGATTTCCGTATTTCAGCAGCGACTTTGTCCCTTCTTCGTCCTGGTCGTCGAGCACCCGAGACACATATCTGCTGGACTATGTCCCGGGACCGCCGCCACAATGCCCAGAGGTCCGCCCAGCGTCTCCCGCCAGGAATAGACCACAGGCGAAATACGTGAGGACGATAAGACGCATCCATGATCAGGTAATAGGACATATTTTCAACTTGCATTCAAAGAAAAAAGGGGATGGAATGGGGGTCCACCCCCCCCCCACCCCACCCCGACGGAGACTTTGAAGTACATAAATATGCATCTGTGGGTAATGGCCAGATGACGCCCTCTCTCTCTCTTAAGGTTGGTAATATAGTTATTGCTGCATCCTGTTTGTTGTTATTTTCGATTTTTCTGACATAATTGCCATTATTGGTTGTAATAAATAGGAGGTTATGTTTTTGTCCTGTTTATCTCTTTGCCTGTTAGCAAAATTATGGGAAATTGTGGGCGGATTTTGATGTAATTTTCATTAACTGACAGGAGTGGACCAAGTAAGAATCGATGAGATCTTGGTGATGATCCATTAATTAATTAATCAGTTGATTATAAAACATGTTTGTCTGTGAGCAACATCATGACCACTTAAAGCCCTGCAAGGGAAGGGGCCCCTAAAATCCTTACATGGTCAATGTGTGACCCCTCCTAACGTAGGTGATGACCAACCACATGGTAACAGAACTGAAAAAGGAGTTGTTACGAGAAGTGACCATGGCTGAACTGTAATACCTCCAATACGTTATTGTTGAGAGGCAGACTCAGAACTGATCAGGTTGTTATTAACAGATGTGACAGCGCAGCTACTACAATACGTTATACCAAGGACAATTTACTGATAGAATGGGATATTTTCTTTTTGTTTTATAGCGGCCAGTTCTGTGCGCCCTAAGGATAAGTTCTCAGTTTTTCCGAAACATTTCATGAGGGTATCTACGGCACTATATAGGTGCATCCTTTCGTTAGGTGGTAGTTTTACGAACTCGTCGAGGGCTTCGAGTGAATTGATCATAATTTCATCCATAGATTTCTATGACTTCCCATCCCTCGCTCTCAGCAACTCAACATAATTTTACGTAAGATGAATTGAAGTAAGTGCTTCCATCATATGATTGAAAACGGGTGGGCGACTTGGGGCAGGGAATGTGACTCGTTATATATGGGAAATGACCTACCTCTCGTATGTGGCAGTCGGTTTTCGTCAGTATTCAGGGGAGTATCCATTTACCGCGAACTCTGCATGGGAGTGAATCTGGGTATATTGTCGCGGAACTGTCGCTGTGGCCCTCTCGGATCTTTATCACAATTTTGATGTCCATAACGTTACGCTGGCGCAGTTGGAACACTGATAGCTGGTCGCCTTGGTTCTGCTGTAAAATCAGCATTTGGACTTGATAGCTCCGCTGGAATAGGAGTTGGCGACTCCGTTGAAGTATTGAAGCCAGGGGATATCGGCATCATGTGAATCATTTATCTCGATGTGTCCAGGCTGAGCATTATTCAAGGGTAAGGCGGAATTTTTCAATAAGGATGGCTTATCATGTCTCATATATGAGATAAATTCTGTGTGAAACTTCTGTAATGCCTCTGTCATTTTATACGTTTTCCAACAGTTCCTTCAAATTTTGAGTTTAACTTCTCTAATTTCATTTTCCATTTGTATAATCCGTGTTTCATCACAACCACTGTCACACACATTTGAGCACAGAGGCTCCACGTTTTCTAAAATCATAAAATTTTCATTCACTGTGATAAGTTTCTGACCATCCTTGTCGCCCTTGTTGTGAGTTCTAGTTTATTACGTTCAAGATTACCGCTCCAAGTCACATGATACCAGGTGTCATGTCACACATGGTGTGCCGCATAAACAATACATAGACCAATACACTACATATGTTATGGAGGAATTTTGTTGAAATCTTTCAGGATAGGTCAGAAATGGACTTGATTTGGTGATTAATAAATTAATAATGAGAATTCAACTAATTAATTAGTGAATAAAAAAATAATAACAATGTGGAATTGGTTACTTAATTTGATTGATTCTCTAATTAAGCAATGATTAATAATAATTGGAGCTGCCTTGCAGGAGGTCTGCGCTCTCCGAGTACTTTTATTGTTAGCATCATTATTTTTTAACCATCATTATCATTTCCTTCTGAAACGAATATAGGGTTGACAGTTAATATAATTCCCCATTACAGTTATTACTAATCATATATATTTCCAGCCAGTTTGTACAGTGCTGCCGGCCAATGAAGACAAAGTACAAACGACCCAGACGCCTGTACAGAAGTCTATTACGAGGACGTCCTACCCCGAGAAACATGCAGAACGAAGACATCTTTGTTTCCCCAAGTTGAACCGAGCTGATCACTGCATATGTGAGTGCTGAAACATGGAACATAGCATAATAATAATAATAATAATAATAATAATAATAATAACAGGCAGAGTGACAGACAAACAGTGGCAGATGGATAGACATTTGAACAAACATAACGAAGGTGTAAATAAACAAATGCGCAAACTAATGCATTGTCAAAATAGTATCATCATTTTACGTGGCAGTCTTAATAGCAAGTTCGTTTAGCGAAAAAGTACTAGAGAATAAAACTGACAGCTTTTGTATCCAACCCTGAAAATGCCGTACTTTGGATTGTTTGTATAAAAAATAAAAAATCTTGCTGCTTTTTAATTCAAAGATAAGCGGAGTTATATTTTCTAATATGTTGAATTTCATTCCAGTGCCCATGCTTCCAGAGCCATGCGCGAATCCCGAGGCCATCATCCCCGCGCGTACTAAGTTCAACCCAACAGTAAGCAGAGTTTTTTTTAAATCTATTTCTACTCTAGTATGATTTTTCTAAATGTGTGAAGAATTGTTAAGGTTAGCATTTCCCTTCAGAATGAGCCATCTGTGAAGTTCTAAAATGCGTTGTTGGTTTTGTTTCATTAATAATTATTGAATTTAAGATTATAAACTTATTAAATACGTAATTCTTTCCCAAAAAGTTCTTGGCGTAAAAGGCCAATTAAAGTTGTTCGTATTTTATCATATTCAGAGTAGGCTATAGATAAAATTCACAGCAAGAATGTATATACTCTTGCTACAATATTATTTACTTTGCCGTAGAGTGAAACAAATTAGTATAAAACAGTATCTGATTGCAGCTTTGGCTGTACTTAAATTATAATTTCCCCTCACATTTTCTGTTGGTGTTTAAAAAATAATGCTTAATGGTAAATATGCCCTGAGCATGATCATATTTTTTATAACGTGTAATTATTTCCAGACCACCACGCTCTGTACAGGCAGTCCTTACAGATATCTCACTCGGAAAAGGCGCGGCTTTCCAGCACCGCGAGGTACGTAAAAAAAATTAAATTCTACGATTCTTTTTGTTATTCACTAAAGAAATACCACCAAGTACATGTCATTTTGAAATAGAAGTGAACAGGTTTGCTATTCACTTAAAAGTGTATGAAAAACGTGTTTGGGCAAAATATTTTCAATGAATAAGTAAATTTGACTTGGGGGCATTTAAGATAAGAAGCAAACGTGTTATCGAAAGACATCTCATGCACTATCTCACGTTTATGTTACGACGTAATTCGTAAAACATGCCATTTTTAAGCACACTTTCATTACGTTTTAAATGTTTTCTCAATATCTTATAACATAACGGGGGATATCACGGATAATGAAGTTCTGCATTAATTTTGTTATATCATAAATGACTGTGTGATCATTTCTTCAACTAGATAAAGGTGTGTTCTACGGCCAAGCGTGCCTCCCGAACTGTCGCTATGAGGTTCCGGACCATGAGAGCATTTCCAGTTTATGCGGTCTACCATTCTCTAGAAGAAGAGAGTGTGCAGGTAACCTCCTCTCTCTTTATGTCTTTCTTTAGAAACTGAAATCAGAAATATATCGATAAAACAAACGCACAACTTATCGCCTTTCAAACACGCACAGCCATTGTATCCTCAACAACTGCGCGCATTTTGAAAGTAGTAAGACCCGAAAGCCTCCACATACACGATAAATCGATATTGTATATGTGATTAGTGATTCAATGTTTTAAGTGTACAATGGCATTTACCTATTTACCTTTAATAGTCCCAACGGGCAAGATGGTGGTGAAGGACTTCGATGGTGGGGCCCCTGCACCCGTGGAGATTTCTCACCAGTTCCAGACCAAGTACACCAACCTATTACGCTCAAATACCATCACTTGACATGGAAGGTGCTTCAGAAATATTTGCTCAAGCCTTTTTTTATTATTTAATGAGATAAAATCAGATTTATTTTAAAAAAGATCGACGTGAGATAGACATGACACTTAATTTGAATTTTACCGAGCAGGAGCTATGTTCATGGAAACTGCTTACTCCACAGTCGTTGACGCAACTGGCATTGCTCGGGCCTGTCATTAAAAAATGCTTACCAAATGGACTCAAAGCATCCACAACTTTGTCATAGATTTAAAGTGAGAGGATTTTATGTCAATATTTGCACAACTTGAAATGTCATTAAACAACTAACATTTTTGGCAAATTATGCCCTGTACTGGATTCCACTTTAAACCTCAAAAAGTCCAGTAATTATCTAATAGATGCAAATATTTAGAGAATTTATTTCAGAAAATTTTGTCATTAACTTTGGCAAGATGGTACAAATGCACATGCAGATACGTTTGGTCATATGCACAAAACAAAGTGTAACAATACATCTTACCATTTTAAGTTTACTTCATTCAATAAATACTATTCTAGCTACATTCTTGAAGTCCTTTTTCATTGAAGTAGGAAAATTGCATTTCATTAATGAGGCCATCAGCATAAAAGCAAAGTACAGAGAAAAACATTCTTAATGGTACATTTTCTGGTCACTGGCATTTTGGACTACTGCAAAGCATTCCATACCAAGGAAGCACAATCACCCACTTTGCCTCTTTTGTGTGTCAATTTTTTGGCAAACTGACCAAGGTCTAGGGACTTTGCCAGAGCTTTGCTATTGGGGTCCTGAGACACCAAAGTTCCTAGACAAACCAGAAGTCTGAATTGTGACTCTTCATCCTTGACACTTTCTGCAACGTCAGCAGCCGTAGATAAAACCATCGCCTTTGCCTCCACATCTTCAGTAGGATGGAGACTGATAGCAAAATTGAGTAAAACAGAACTAAGAGCTATGTGTACATTTTTGTTACTGGTCTTCTGGCATATCCCTAATAATTTCCCAATTTTCTCTCTGTTCAAGTTCATGAGCTTTTCCCCTGGTTTGTTTTTAAAGGCATTGCATATGACGCGTAGAACTAGCATCTGGTTGGCTGCGGGTGCTTCGTCTCCACCACCTAGCACTAGCAAGTGGTTCAAGAACTGTGGCCCATCCTTCTGGTTACAGAAATGCTGGTTCACTTCTTCCGACCTGATGGCCAGGCGCAGCACATCTAAGGCAGGAAACACATTGCCTGAAAGATAAAAATTTTAAGAGTTATAATGTACTTTTTTGTCCTAAATCAGCAGTATGCTGACATTCTGTAACTTCACCAACTACAAATTTCTGTCAATATGAAATAAGAATCAATCCACTGTGCTATAGAAGATATAAACACCAAAAATTAGGTCATGGGCAACGGGATAAAGAGACAAAAAAAAAAAAAAAAAAAAAAAAAATCTCAACAGATTACCTAAACTTTACAACTGGACCTGTATCTTTACTAAACTGAATTATATTTAAGTCTCAACATAAAAAACACACAACATTTTACAGAATTTTACAAAGATTTTCCACTGACCTGATGGCCAATGTAACAGCTGCCAGAGGAGCTCCAACTGAGCAGCAGTGGGGGAGCCAGACTCCAGAAACACTGACAGCTGGGCTAGACTAGACTCTTCAACTGCATGTTCTGAACTTAGGCTACTATTAAATTCCTTTAGTTTGCCTAGGGATAAAAGATGTCACAAAAATTGTCTTTTTTCGTTTGATTAAATAATATCAAAATTAACATTCATTGCAAAAAAATATACACAGTATAATAAAAAAATAATAATTTCATGTGTTTTCTAAACAGGTAATCAAATGAGATAAGGACTATTTGTTTCATGACGGTCATTTTATTTACTCAATATATGGTGTGTATACTTTACCAAATTAGGTTTTATATTTTTACATTTAAAAAAATCCATATGTGTACTGTATAATCTGTTCAATGAAAACAATTCCCATCATACTCACTCATTATGGCCTGTGTGTTTGCCTGGTCAAAGGATAGGAATGCCGTTTTCGGGAAGTACTGGTTGTCCAGGCTATTGCCCATGTCTCCTCCTGCCACACTGGACGTCTGACCATTTGATGGACGGTAACTACCAGCACCAGTGAAGGGATCAGAGCCTGACTGAGGTGCAGGACCCTGTGGCTGTGAGGCTCCAGGCACATAGCGTCCACCACCAGTAAAAGGATCTGAACTCACACCAGTGCTGCCCTCTGCTGTGCCAGGGACATACCGACCCCCACCTAAAACATTGAAATAAGTACTCAGCAAATCAGAAGGGTTGAGGCTCTTTTGGATAAAATGTCTAAGGATGTCTCAATTTGACATTGAAAGGTCCTAGGATATTAATAGTCTTTTACATGGTCCCTGGAATTGAACTTGAAGACAGGTCTTGGGCACATCAAGTAAAAATAAGTGACATTAAAATATAAGTGTGTTGCATATCTAGGGACTGCTATTGTACTTTCAACACCTTTTTCACTGCACTAAATCTTTTTCACACTATCCAGTGAGTTTAAGAGAAAGTATAGCAGTACATCTTTTCACTCTTTTAATGCATTACCTTACTCAAGTCTCTAGTCATAGCATGTTTAAAACTCATTCTTTCGGCAAATATGCAATACTGACCTGTGAATGGGTCGCTGTAAGAGCCTGCCGACTGCTGGCTAAATGTCACAGACTTGGTGTTCTCAATAATAAATCCTGCCACTTGATCCAAAAAAGCTTGGCTGAGGTTGTTTTTATGAATAAAATTCTGGGCAGCAAACCATGGGTCCTCCGTGACATTATATGGAAGTTTTAGTGGTGGTTTTCCTTCCTCTACATCCACAACAAATACATAGTCATATTCCTGTAATACAATTTTATACATAGTACCCTGATATGTAAAGTAACAATACTGCAGTTCTTACTGTTAATAATAACAATACTAGTAATTAACTGTTATGAACCCTGAACAAAGATGTAAAAGCATGATATATCTTTGTAAACAAAACAAAATAAAAGCCATCATCCTATAACAAAGTACATATGCAAAAAGCTAGCAAGAAAGCGTATAGAACTTTATAACTAGTTTTTTTTTCATCACAGATGCCCCTGAATATTTGCAACAAATGTGCAGCAATTGTCTTTCTTTGAGTAGAAAATTTCAAGTTAATTTATAAACCATTCTTTGCCTTGAAGGACATATGCCTTACCTTTCCTTCATACAAGGTCTTGCCGGATGTCTCCTGTGATCCCCCTGAGGCTCCCACCACGTCACCCACCTTGACCCACTTACTTTCTGCCATACTCCACTGGTACACCATCGCCCTGGGTCCCTCCCTGACCAGCTTGGTCTGGCCCTCACGCGTACCTAATAGCAGTAAAAAAACAAGGGGACTCAGGGTGCTTTTGTAAAGTTGCATTACAAAACTCTATTTGTTTAAATCAGGACAATTTTTAATTCACCTCAAATCTACTTAAATTCTCCATGAGAATAGATCCCATGATGTTTTATTTGAGTAAAAATTGTATATACAATATATCCAAAACCATTTGCAACACAATATGCCAATACACAAACAGCTCAATTTACTATAACTTTGGTTATAAACTACCTGGCATTTTTTTGTGGGGCGTAAAAGAGGGGAGGCAGATGCCATGGCTTTTGGACAGAATGAGATTGTCAAAGATGCCTTCCTGTCATAATTTTATTTCAGAATGTATACCTGGTTCAATGAGAACTTCTTTTCCTGGAAGATCCTCTATTTTGACATCTCCAACTTGGGATGGTATACTTGAGGCAGCCACTTCTTCCTCAAATGCTTTCTGTGTTTCCTCAGCCGCAGTTCTAGCTGGGTCTTTAGTGAAGACTCTCACAACTCCATCACTGGAAGAAAGGAGAAAATACCATTAAGTGGGCTCATTACTTGGGCTAATTACATCATGAACCTTTGTTCCAAATAATAATAATAATAACAATAACAACAACGACGACAACAACAACAACAGTTATGAAAAATGAAGAAGGATAAAATCCATTATCTAATTTTTTACCATATTTTAGTTGATTTATTTTTGAATATATACAATTTCTTTAACAAAAGAAATATATGAATACCTTGCCCCAGTTACAATGTCCCCATTCGATAATGTACACACTGCCCATACTGAGGTAGCTGGATGTGTAATAGTCTGTGCACACTCCCCATCCTTCCAAATCCTTAGGGTGCGGTCTTCTCCAGTGGTCACAAAATCTTGACCATTGGGCAGTGCTGCTATGCTGTATACAAAGTTAGTGTGTCCAGAGTATGTGTGAACACACTCTCCTGTGATGAGCCATCTTCTCACGGTGGCATCATTGGAACACGACAGGAATTCAGCAGCAGATAAAACTGCCAGACCACGGACACAATCTGAATGACCTGTAATTTCAAAGAATTATTTTTTCTTATAATCTTCAGGGATGGAGAAGGAAAGTTTTAAAAGAACAGAAAAGTCCTCTCCTAGTCCTGAATTATTCCCCATTTTTATCATATCACACAAAGTCCAGCAAAAAAAGCAGGCTATCTTCTAGAAACAGGAAGAATCTCAACCTAAGTCTTTCACAATACAACACATATATACTGATAATTATTGCGCAATTCAAAATGTTTACTCCATACCTTTAAAAGTATTTTCACACCTGGCTGCCCTCCACATCTTAACTGTCTTATCTGCTGACCCTGTCAACATCAAGCCCTGTTCTGGCATGATAGCCACGGCCCAGACTGCTTGCTCATGACCTGAAATATAAGGGGGATATATTAATCAATTAATCATATTGTAGCGGTTGACCATCAACAGCATATATTAAGCATAACTAGATTTCCAGACCCTATTGTCCTACACAAGACTGACAAGCTTAGCTGTGTTCTTTAAACTGGCACAGAGAACCTGGACTAAAGTGGTGAATGAGTGAATATTTTTAGTCATCCAGAAGGATACATGCTTCTCATCATTTAGTGAAATACTACTCTAGTAAGTTTATTAATTTTTTTTTCAAAGTATAATATCAAAAGTCAAGTGGTGAGCAACAGATGGAAATGCTGCTTGTAAATTCCTTAAAGTTTCGGGATTCCCATACTGTTATACACACTCAACAGCTGTCAAGTTGGATTTCTTGATGACTATCTACTAAAAAGACTTGTTTACAGACCAGTGAATCTTAACAGATCTTAAATAGGCAAAAAGGCACATTAAAGCAAAATTGTAAAATTGACACGACATTCAAATTAAGCTAAAATTAATTGAAAAAGACAAACTTGAAGTGATGTGATTGATTCGCTCCAGTAGATACCTTTAAGAGTCATGACACATTTCTGGTTGAGCCATACTTTGGCGGTATTATCCCAAGAACCACTGAGTAGAGTGCCAAACCTTCCTGCAGCTAATGCACAAACTGGAAGATAATACAGACACAATAAACAAGATTTTCCAAATTAATAATGATAACAATAGTAATAATAATAATAATGATGATGATACAATCCACCATTTCAAGTAAGAATGACAAGCAAGGATATACACATATAATCAAGCTGGAGCTGACAAATGTTTAGCCA